AACTGTCTAATCTAGATGGAATAATTTAAACAAAAAGTGTGAATGGTGCTGGTGAGCTAATAATGCTCAAACCAGAAGTAAAGCTATAGTAATTTAAGAAAAATCCCAAAACCTAACAGCACAACTGAAAACAAGCTCCCCAGAGATTTAAAACTAACTCAGCTTCAAGCATTTCTCTTTTCTTCTCACTGGCAAATGGGAGGCGACAGCTGATAGCTGAACTCAATAAAATCATTTTGTAAGTAAGAAAAGAGATACATGCTTAGTTATAACTGAGGGCAATAGGAAGTTACTTTGCATGTACAGCAAGAATACAAAACCTTGTAAGAAGAGTAATGGTACTGGTACTAGGTAGAGGTGCTGTAAGTATCAAGAATTAAGTGAAAAGAGGAAAGCGTTGAACAAATATTCTGTTCCATGTCTGGGGAAAAGCCAGATATATTCAATCTGTGGATGGAATAGCTCTAATTCACATGAGCTGATGAGGCTGTTAAACAGTAACTATTAAAGCTAGACATTTTACAATCAAGATTTCAGCTTAAGTTGCATCTAGAAATTTTTTACAGAGCTGGTCTGTGAGTGCTGTGGAACATTAATGTTGATTTTTTAATAAATCCTTTAAATCTGGGAGGGTTTCAAAATACAGCAAGAAGCTAACTTTATGCCAGCACTTTTAAAAGCTAGGCGGCATAACATGAATAATTATAAGCCTGACATCAATCAGTGGAGAATATTGCATAGCTTACAGGGCACTGACTAATAATTGTTGTTTGTAAGTATTAATTATCTTTAATATTACTCATAATTCAGCCCCATGTTAGCTAATAAATGGGTCAGTGAAATTAAAGTTGATCTGTGTGTTTATTGATTTAATCAAACTGAATATAACTTTCTAAAGTATTATCAATTAGGTTGACAGGTCTAATGATGTGAAGGTAAGAAACTCTTTAAGAACATTTTTCTTGGCTTCGTATGTCAGCCTGGTTACATCATCTGAATTTTGCAAAATCAATGTTAGATTTGTTACCATCTCTATGTACCAGCAATTAATCAGACTAACTATAGTCATGCCTTGTGTCTGAATATTGAAGCCAAATAAATTCAGATTAGAAATAAGGTACATATGTTTCTGAGGAACGAGGTCATGGAAAAAATTCTCCATCCTGGATGTTTTTAAAGGAAAATCTAGCATAACTAGTTTGGGCAGTAAATGTGGAAAGTGAGGAGGAACACCAGAAGCAGCAGAGGCAGAGTTGAGGTGTTAGTTGCTCCACCCTGCCAGTCTGCATGCATACACAGCACTTATTCTTTCATCTCTTTCCCTATTTTCTTCTCATATTATTCCCCTAATTCTGCAATCAAAGGCATTCTGCAGAGGTACACGTGCTGCAGCTTTGGAGCAGCAGCAGGTGCTGAGCTTGGCAGCGAGCACCAGTCAGCCTGTATTTTTTAAAAGAGATCATCACAAGGGGCCTTATGGATTCTAGGAGGCGTTTTTAGGTACTTCTGAGTTGTTCATCAAAAGACGGGTGTTCTGTCCACCATATCAAATCTAGACAAGGTGGTCCAGTCCTGGAAGAAACAGGGAACTAGGTCTGTGTTTTGGGCCAGGCCCCAAGAGCCATCACCTTCCTATGCTATCCTTTGCCCCCCCCAAATCCATGCCAGAGGGACAAGGAGTGGCTGCCCAGCTCCCTCGGGAATGTAGGGTGTCCCTACACTATACCAGAAGCCTTCCCTTCCCAAACAGCTGCTCCCCATCCCCTGCTGGGGAAAGCCATAAATCTGGTGGAAGCACTCTGTGGCACCTCTCTGGCCCACAGGTCATGGTGCTGGGGCAGGATAAGGAGAATGATATCAAATATTTTCTGTGTCAGGATGAAGTCAAAAGGATATAACATCTAACATTTTTTTTTTTACACATCTTTAGTGCAGGACTCGAAAATCAAGTCCTACAATATCTTTTTGTACAGAAAATGTTCCTGTAGCCTTTGGTAAGGTTTTTGTGCAGTAAATGTGGAAAGTGAGGAGGAGCAAATACATTGTTACCGTTATTGTTCGGCTTCTAGCACAAACGAAGACAAAATGAATAAAAAGCAGATAATCATATATGCTTTATATTATCTCACATTTAGCGAAAGCTATAGGTTAACTAGAGCGAATTTAGATTAAAACAACAGAAACATTGGAGACTTGAAGAGATATATGAGAAAAAAATTAAAAATATGTTTAGGCAGCAGCTGAGTGTAGTAAAAAGAAGAATGTCAGATTTGTAAAGCCAGGGAAATAGATGAAATTATTTTCAAAAGTAACATATACTTATTAAAGAAAAGTTTGGGCCAGGTTGCTCACACAAGGAAAATTGTGTCACCTTGGTAAATCAGTACTCCAGCTGACACTGAACTAAGCATGCGGTGAGCAGTTCTCTGCTTATAAGGCAGAGGTGACCTAGAATCCACTCTCAGTCCTGAATGGGAATGAGAACCGACTTGTAACAGCCTTTAGGGGAGCACTCGAGATACTGCAGTTGGAACAGGAATATTCTGTGCTATAAATGAGAGAACTCGGGCTTCAATTAGTGTCACTGAATTTTACAACGTATTGCTGGTAGAATGACAAATGGACTACAAGTTTTCAAATCCAAAAAGAGGCCCATAATTTCATACAGGATTCTATTTCTTGTAGTGGCCTTACTAAATCTTGCTAGATTTGACCATGGGAAAAAAATCTAATATTCTTGTGACTCTTCAGTTAAGATGCACTCCCATCCTACAAGTTCACTTTTCATTGCACAAGGGTCTGCTTTGTATCTTTATTACCCATGTCATGGGGTATGATCTGATTGGAAGGAATGTCTCAGATCAGTGAATAATAGTATCCTGTATCACCCAGGGTCACATAATCATGTTTATTTGTGTCTTAGTCACCACCTTATTTAACAGTTTGCCCCTGCTACTCCAGTAATGAGCACTGTCCTAGGTTGCCAGGCCTTTGAGGACTGGGAGATAGTTGCAAGAAATTTATATGTATAGTTTTGTCCTACCATCAGGGAGCATCACTCTTGTTTTTCTTTTCTATAACCTGGGATCTTGATTTAGTGGTGGTTTAGGAATGGTATTCTCCAATTTAGTACTCCCACTAAAACCTGCTCCACCTCCTTGCTCCAAGCAGAAGCACAAAAGGTAAAGATCATGGTTTGAGATAAGAAAAATTTACTGAAAATGGCAATGAGATAAGAAAATGAGCAATTAACAGCAATAATATTAATAACAAAAGGTGTAAGAATACAAATGATTCATACAGAAAAATTATCTGACAATAGACAATACCAGATGGCTCCCTCTGCGTTTTTGTCAACGAGAAGGAATGTCTTTGTGCCAGAAGAGAATCCCTTTCCCCAGCCCTGGCAATGACATGCGGTGATATAGAATAAATAACCTCAGTGCCCTGGCAATGCCTCCTCCTGCCTACTGCAAAAATTAACCCTCTCCTGGGTGGAACCAGGACAAACCTGCTCCGTTTAATGCATCAGTTTCAAAATGCACTGCTTTTATGAGAAATAGAACTTTGGCAAATTTGAGGTGTATCCACTTTCTTCAGAAGGAAGAGTGCCATGCTTCTCTTCCACCTTGCACTAGAATGAGCTTTGTCAATAATGGGAGTAAAAGTCACAATTGAAGTGTAAATCTCTTCCTAACTGCCTCAGTTCTTTCAATACAGGATAAGTTGTCTCTGTCACAGAGAAGCTAACAAAATTCTTCAGAATATTTTTAATTCATCCATAAACCTGGTACTGTATTTTATGATACTATTATTATTATTTTAGAATTTACAAAATACGACCATGCAAATATCCTAAACTATCAGCCAAAAACTGCAGAAAACCGGAGGTGGAGAGAGCTGAGGGTAAAATACCTGAGGGCATTGTGGAGGAGAGACAGGCTAATGGGTAGAAGGGACAGGCAGCTTTTGGAATAACTGAGTTTTAGTGGATCGGTGACTCCAAGAAGCCTTAGTGAAACTTACATTATGTTAGTTGCCTGATTTGTGAACTAGCCTTTTTTCAACTAATGCTCAGGTTATGTATGTGAACCAATTCATGCTCTGTAATCTTTTTTCATCTTTTTTTCCCCCTCTGCTTTCCTGAGTAGTCCAATTGAAGTGAAAGTTTAGAAGCGGTTTACCCAAGTCACAAAGCACAGTGCCTTGCAAGTAGTCTCTAAATCACTTCAAGCTCCCTGAACAGTGCGGGGTTGGTTCTCCTAGAGATGAGTTGAATCTGAAATAAAAACTTTATAAAATCGAAGGAAGGGAATATAGGAGCCTTTTTTCCCCACAGAAAAAAAGTATTTCTTGATCCCCTAGAGCACTAAAGGAGCTATAGGAAACACAAGAATTCTGTTGTTGGATTTAGATCTCCCAGTTAAACACTTATGCTGTACTGAGAACAGTGTTACATCCGTGTTACCTGTCTTTAGAGAGGCACTAAGCTCTACAGGTACAAGCAAGATGCTTCTCGCTGTGCAAGATGGTCAGCCTAGGAGGAGATATAGGATCCTCATCTTATAACTCTTTAGAACTGGAACACTGAAACTGAAATTAATTGCAGGAAACATTAAATTTTAGGGCTAATTCTGACTATGGGTTTCAGAGCTCAGAAAAATGCAAGTATTGAATAGTAGCAGGCCTGCAGGTTTGTCGGCACAGAGCCAATATCCAAAAATACTCCCCACAAAAATGTTCTTTCCCCTTCTATCTGCAGATTGCAGAGCATGAGGCATCTTGCGCATGAAAAATTACACAATTATGAATGTTTGGATTAGTTTATATGACTGAATGATCATCCTTAAGTACTTTATAACACAACCATTCCACAAATGTATCCCTGTCAACAAGTAATTTCCTATATGTTTGTTTGTAGTGTTCTTTAGCAGCTGCATGAAGTTTTCTAATGAGTCGTGGTGAGTCAATCATGATTCCCCTCACTCTTTATTTCATAGGTTGGTGAGACCAGATGCAAAAAAGTTTGCACTTCGAAATCTGATTTGAGATCCAATGATTTCAGCATTGTTGGAAGCTTGCCAAGGGATTTTGAATTATCAAATTATGACTGTTATGGGAAGCCCATTGAAGTCAACAATGGGCTCGGGAAATCTCAAGCCAAGAACAACAAGAAGCCTCCTCCTCCCAAGCCTGTCATTCCATCAGCAGCAAAGAGAATCGATCTTTATGCAAGAGCACTCTTTCCTTTTTGCTTCTTGTTTTTCAATGTCATATACTGGTCCATATATTTATGATAAATCTTTTTTTTCATGTGTGTAAAATATAGCCCATTTCATTATCCCTTCCCAGTCATGAAGACCACTGTGTGAAATTATTTGCATTTGCAAAGCAATATGTTGCATCTTGATGCCGTGCGATTGTACTGAACATATGGCATCTGAAATTTGAATGAAAGCATGACACTGCAATGTCTGTGCTCTGACCAACTTTGTATATAAATGTACAGCATAAAACATCCTGCTTTAAGAATATATATGAAGGACAACGCCTACTACATTATAAAGCTGAATAACATTCTTCAGTTATTAGTAACATACAGAAATTTAAAGTGTTTCTGACAATGAAACTGATGTGCACGTTGAGTATTATTAAATCAGTATTCTAGTATATGTAGTATTTAACAGCTTTTCTGATGACTTCCAGGGGAGAAAGAAATACCCACCAAACATCTTTTTCTTGTATGATTTCAGCTGGCACTGTTGAAGAAAAAGCTAAGGTTTAATTATTATTATTTAGACTTTGTAAGTGAAGGCAGTGTCAAGTAAGCAGATCTTGTCTATGTGGAAAAATAAAGATTAGAGAAATACTAATTTTGTAAAATCAGCTCATTTAGGAAAAAAACCCAACAACTGTCTATGAAGCAGGCACAGTTAAGTGTGTTTGAATATGCTGGCAATAAAACATTGGGGCAAATTTTAACTGCTGTTCCTTTAGGCACAAACTAGATACAGTACAAAAAAACAAACAGGCCACTTTCTAGACTAAAGGTATCAGGAGTTTTGGAGAGGCATCACAAGATGCAGCTCAGTATCAGGTTTGCTATACATTTTTCCATTAGTTTGTCCTCTGACTTAACTTCTGTAGCATCTGGCCTGCAGTATGTAAGTCACAATTTTTTTGTTGTTGCATTGGACATTTCTTTCTTGATTTGTTTTCTTTATCCCCTTGAAAGCTTTTATTTTAAACAAACCAGTTGTCAAGACAAAATCCCATTTTCACCAATGATTATATCTTTTCTGTTTATGTGCTAGCTAGCACATAGCCAGCAGCAGGAATGAAAACGTGTCCTAAGGTCTAAGGAGCTGAGACTCTCATGAGCCCTGCTGTACCTATGTGCTAATTAATGGCCGCCCTCACCAACCCATTGATATCGCTGCTAGGTTTTGAAAAATAAGGTTCTATGCATGAAATAGTTCTGACAGGAAGCTACTTTCGTTTTTCCAGAGGAAACTCTATTGTATGGAGACTACCTTAACATGAGCTCCTTGGTGTGCATAGGGCAGGAGCTGTGGTCTCCTGTGGATGCCGGGGTACATCCATTCATAAGGGTGAGTCATGAGGAGAAATGCAGCCGCAAGAAAGCTGCATGAAGGTAGGCAGGTGAGTAGAGTGTGTCTCCTGAGAGCAGGGACTTGGCCTCATGGCCCATGAGAGTATGCCATACACATCTCTGCTGGTAGAGATGGGGTACCTCAGCTAGTTTCAATATGAAAATAAGGCTCTTCTCACTATCTTTGCAATTCATAAAAGGAAATCTGGACTGTTGGCCCCTCCTAGGCTAGGAAGGGACTGGTTTAAACAAATGAAACCTTCCATAGTGTGGAAACAAACAATCCCACTTGTTATGCTACACTTCTGGCATGTCTGGGATGTGTTGAGCTAATGCAGGCCACAATGTCGGATCACTTGGGAGCTGCCCACAACAAGTTGTCTACATACGGCGATCCTGCACAACCAGAAGGTCAAAATTGGGAATGTAAGAAGAGGAATGGCACGCCACTCTGGCATCACTGGACAACAAGTAAACCTGCACACCTAGAGCTTTTTCAAACCACTGCCACTTTGGGATCAACAGGCTGGCTGCAGTGACTCATGTTTGGGTTGAAGAGATCTGCTCTTCACAGTATGGTCACATGCATTCCACCAGCTTCCTGGCCACTGTCTCATGGAGGTTTCAGGCAGCCACTCTACCAAGTGGCCACAGTTTGGATTTCTTTCTGATCCAAAGAAAAGGAAGGTAAATCCCAGACATTACTGAGCTGTGTTGAACAAGGGCTGAGGGAAATGAGATCTTTAAGGTCTAGTTCAAGGTTTTAATATTTCTGTTAGTTGAAGGTGATTCCAGAATTGTCAGAGACTCTAAGAAGCAATAAGGATAAATGAAATGAAAGAGAGGAAGGACAGGAGGGGGAATTTTTATACATACAGAATGGTATATTTATAGACATTATTTATTCTCATACTTGTATTTTTTCTTACAGTACTGGAAGGCAAAAAAATAATTACCTTGTGTTGCAAATTATATGAATTTTGGAAGATAATTTTCTTGTTAGAACTCTTATTAAATGATTTATCTGTAATTAATGTCCACGTTCTATCTCAATTATAGATTTTATTGTTAAATTAATCTTTGTTCCTTCTTGCTTTCCTGCTTACTTGATGGCTCTTGTGTTTTATCATAAAACACTTAATCAATAATACACTGTAATTGCTTTCCAGCTCACACAAAGGAAAACAAAAGGAATGCATATTGTTCAAATAAAGATTTTTTTATTCATTACAGCACAAAAACTAAGGCCAGAAGTGAAGTTTAACAGCAAATTTGAAACTAGATTTAAAATGAAACCAAGCATCAGCTAAAAAGTATTAATTTTCTTTTTACTTACACTAGATAATATTGCAGTATTTGTATTCCCATGGAATATATTAGCTTGTCCTACTGAGCAGTAATAATTGATTTCTTTTATTTTACTTCTTTCTACTAAAGGTCATCAAGAGTTTTGCATACCATCTCACATTATGGTCCACCAGCACCCTCTAGTTGTAAAATTCGGCCTGTTGACTGATTTCCAGAATAAGGTGCAAATATAAAACTGTATAGGTGAAATAGGATCCTAATTACTAATTATAAAATGTAAGAAAAAAAAATTATTAAATTAAAATAAATGGGCACAAAATAAATGTACAACTGCAGAAATTTTCCATGCAGTTAAAATTTAAAAGTATAGAAATGAAGACATTCAAGTAATAGCAAAGGTGAGGTTCATGAAGTGCAGCTTAGTAACTCAATTAACTAGTCATGATTTTTAAACAAACTACACGACAGCAAAATCTGTTTTTGTGGGAGAGCCCATCTGTGTTTCAGCTGACATTTACTTCAAGTTCTGCTCTTAACTGGTAGGAGATTTACAAATTTTTGTTCTACCCTTAAGATAAACCTTGGTATTTTCTTGGTTCTTAAGCATCGAGGGGTAGTATTCAAGTAGCTAATTCTGTTCTTTTATAGTATCATCACCTTTAGATAACTTTCTACATTTTTTCAGAGTTTTAGAACACATTCAAACACTGCATCAGGAATTTTCTTGGAGACTAATTAATTTCTCAACTGCATCTACAAATTTATAGTAGGCAATAAGTAAGGATGTAATTTGAAAAGTGTATCAGCTGTTCTGTATTAATTTATTCTAGTACACAGTTTTAGGAGCAGCTCTTAATGGCACCACCTCTTTTCTTCACTTAATTCTAGCTGAGATGACGTATGTGAACAGTTGGTCTTTTGAGGAGTTTATTTTTGTAAGTGCAGTGTACGGAAGATTGACCACTTGGAAACGCTGCCAAGCAGCTTTCATTCTTCAAAGCCTTCAGATTAATTTTGACTTGTTAATAGGGTAAAGGAAGATGTCTTTGGTGCCCTATTACCCATTAAAGAGAAAGCAGTAACACTGCCTTCTGGGTTAGTGTCAATGGGCAATCACCACAGCGATTGATCTGGCTGTATAATCTTTTAAAGGAAATGCACTTACAAGTAATCTTTATTTAAAAATATTTTACTCTGAAGAGAGACGATACCTTACTTAAGCAGTCTGTTATAGCTGTTAAGGGAATCTCTTAAGAGATGTTATAATACAGTTATAATACACACCAAGGTCTCTGCTTCAACTAAAGCAGCTTATCCTTATGGTTACTGGGGGACTGCGATGCGGGTGTTTATAGAAGAGGTAGCATTGAATTATTTATTTCCAAGGGAGTGCAACCTGAATATATGCAGTGTCAAGTGATTTTTCAGGCTATTGAGATATCGTAGTGCTACAATGAGTACAAATGAGGTTTCTAACCGATAAGGGAATGTGAGGACACTGTTACTTGATGCTTTTGTGTACTAATTCCAGGATTAGAGAAGGTAATGTGGAAAGAAATTCAGATACAGATAAATTGAATAATAATTTTGTGTCAACTCTTTGTGTCTAGAAATTTGCTTTGTATATAAATGACTTGCCTTCTTTGTATATTAATATAAGGATTTAATAAAAAAAACAGGAAAATTAAGCTTATCTGTGGTGCCCAAAAGATAAGGAAACTAATTATTTTCTTATGAAGCTTTACACCTAAGTAAACAGTGAAATATAAAGAAAAATTTGAGACATAAATTCCTCATCATTGTGGTTTTCTCTGTGCCATTGTATCAAAGCAGTCACAAGCAATCTGGACTGTTTGCAGGACTCCCTTGCATTTTGCCCACCCCTGTACTCCCCCTGCACCTGTCCTCCTTCCATCAGTGGGAATGGTGTCAAGAAACATTTAAAATAAAGATTACCTTGCTATTTTGAAATCCCTCTGAAAGCCCCTCTCTGCTACCGGTATGTCTATGCTGCAGTCACTAAAATGTCTGCAGCTAGTGCAGGATTATCCAAATTAGCCTTCGACTGGCTGTTTTGAAGAGGGCTGGAAACATCACCATGGTGACAGTGAGCTGTGGCTGGGAAACCTACCTGCTGGCTAGGGCAGGAAAAAATATCCTTGGAGTTCACCACACAAAGCTTTGTGCTGCCTTGGCTGTTGTGCTCAAGCAGTTGGTTTAAAGTTAGTTCGTGTGGGTGTTTGTCAGCCCGTGCCTGTGAACTGTAGGTGTGTACTGGGTGACGCACTGTGTGCTAGCACAGAGAGATCCTTCCTACGGCTGATGGGAAAGATGGCAGTGTAAAATATTCTCTCCACAGCTCTTGATCACCTACAGGATTTCTGACATTTTTAATTTTGTGCACTGACAGGAGCATTTGGTGGCAGTGACAAAAAAAATGCCAGTTTGCTTTTTTCCTGAACCAATGAACATAGAAGTGAATGAGTTGGATTTGCCCACCTGAGCATGAACAAGGTTTCCTCCTAATTCTAGTAGATCCCTCTTATGAGCCATTCTGTCTAAAGTCCCTACCTCTAACAATGGATATTAAATCACAATTTTTGAACTAATAATGAGACTTAAAAAACTAGTGAGACTAACAAGAATGAGACTGCAAAAATCTTTTTGACTTCCTGGTTGTCCATGCAAGTCAACCCTAGTTTTGAGGGGCACTGATTGCTTTTCAGCATGGGATTTCTCAACACTTCAGTGCCTGTCATGTTCTGGAGACCAGCATCCACTAGCATCCCTCCTAGGAGGGCAAGTGTTTGGTGGGCCTTCAAGTTTGTAAGTCAACTCATCTTTTGAGTATTGAGATAAATCCAAAGCTGCCTGGTACCATTAGTTGTCACACAGAAGCAGCAGGTACATTAAGCACATGTCTTTTAGTTCAAGAAAATGAATATCTTTTCATCTTATTGCATGAAAATATGGTTTACTGTGTGAGAGACCAACCAATAAGACAACATGGAGTAACATCTTGTTACTAAGGATTTTTGTCCCATCAGTCAGTTACTTAGGCCACATACTGTGCTTTGACAGGAAGAAATATGAAGATTGCG